AATCAGCTGATGAATTTAGTTCTGTAGCTGAACAGTTTTAGATCTCGACACTTAACAAACTCCTGCCTATCGTGACTCGGCACAAAAATTTAAAATATTGGTTCCGTACGTCATGCGGACTGCGCCCCTCGTGCGGATGGGCGGGAATGGAGGGTAAAAACCGTTGGGATATATTATTATATTATGTTGTGTTATGATATGACGTTATGTTATGTTACGTTATGTTTTGTTATTATGTTATGTTAAATTATGTTATGTTATAATGTTATGTTATGATGTTATGTTATTTTATGTTGTGTTGTGTTGTGTTGTGTTATGTTATGTTATGCTATCGATATCGTCATGTTATGTTGTGTTGTGTTGTGTTGTATTATGTTATGTTATGTTATGTTATGTTATATTCTGTTATGTTGTTCAACACATTTCACCAAAATTCACTTCAATACTCAACTAAACTCAACTCGGCCTCAACTTCCCTTAATTTACAAGGTCGAATTTCAACCGCTGGGCGAACACTAGTCAGATTTAATAGTTATCGTAATGAGGATATTTATCAACAAATAATCGTTACCGCGCTTAATTTTGAACTGATACTCAATCAAACATATTCTCCCCATATTTCCTGATTTCAAAACTGAATAAATAATGCCTACTACGGTATCCGACGGATGCCATCTCCGCGGATCTAATCCGATTCGCACTGTCATAACAAGCAAGTGTGAAGGATTAGATTCGTGTGACATCCGCCGGATACATGCTTATTCCGGTCCGAAAGATGGCATTCGCACGAATCTAAGCCTTTTCACTGCCATGTTCTGATAGTGCGAATCGGAAAAGAAATGGTCTAATGAGTACATAATCACTTAAATAAACATCAATTTTGTAAGCTAGATGATAAGTAGTGAAAACATTTCGTCCAAGAATTCCTTTATTGAAAAAGTCACGGATTTTTAAAGCTGCCCCTTAAGTGAATTTTTTCAATGTTATTATTTTTTTAATGTTATTGTTTTTTCTTTTACTCTACTTTCAGCTCAAAGTATAGTCAGAATCTGCGAGGAGAAACAATTCCAGTGCGCCAATGGTGTATGCATACCCATCCGTTTCGCATGCGATGGCGATTCAGATTGCAGCGATCACAGCGATGAGCGCATTGCCAATTGCAAGTTTATAGGTGAGTGAACAGACTATACATATATTTACATAATTCGAATAATAAATAAATTAATTAATAATAAGTAGAAAAAGTAAACGAGAAATGTGCACCAACGAGCGTGCGCCATGTATTTATGTGAGAGAATTTATGTTGGACTAAATGCAAAAATGCACATACACAAACATGCGTATATACGTTACAATTAGTTGACTCTGCTTTGGCTGTGAATGTGTATAATTGCTTCAAGGAAATGTGCAACGGATGGGAAAAAATTGAATACCTGTTGCACATTACACATATTTACACAGAAAAATGTAGCTCCTTTAAAAAGGAAAAAAAAACGGTGATTGTTCCAGTGAAACGTAAATGCATGCATGCATTTAGAAAATTGAAGGTAAAAATTATTTTATCTTACTTTCCTGTGAGTCCTTGTGAGAACTGCTGTGCAATTTAGACATTGTGCAAAATTTTATTTTTACTGTCGCTTCTTTTATTTAGCTGCATAATTACTGATGAGTGTATGCAAGAATCTATTCAAAGAAATTTTCTCTGAAACGTACAGATAACTACGCGGCAGCAGCATGCTCGTGTAAGCTTTTGCGCCTTTTTGTGGCAAGGATTTCCTACAATTAGAACTTTTTTTTTACAAATATCGTATGTACAACATGAACACTTTTTTTTTCTCCCTTCCTCGTTATATTCTCTTAAAATATTCAATGCCATGCAAATGGCAATAGTAGCAGTTGTACGAGTGGTTGTACAATGCCGGTATTTAAACAAATACAATGACGCTGAATGAATGTTGCCTGCAACATGTATGCTCAAACGTTTAGCCACAGAAACCGCACAGCCATGCAAGTGAATTAAGCGCATAAAAGCGAATAAATGCCACATAGTAGGGAGTGTTCACCAAGAGTTGTGGATACTTGAAGAGCTACAAGTGCTACGAGTGCTGAACGTTTTAGTTTTTCATTTCAATATCTCCACGCATACATGGAACTGGAAATTTCACTGAAGAAATAATTCTTTTGATTCACAACACAAAGACCTGAAGCCGCAACACATGACTTGTTGTCGTTTTATCGAAGGTTACGTTAGATTATGTCAGGACAGGTGAGACATTGGGCCTTATGCATAAAAAGTGAGCTTAAGCTCAGACTCAGTTTTTGCACTGAAAGGGTGAGCTCAAGCTCAAGAATTTGTTCTGAAAATTGAGTTGGAGTTTCAGCTCACTTTTTATGCATAAGGCCCATCCGTTTCACTTAGATATTAACTGAATTGGCACTTAAGAATGTTTTTGAGTACTATTGTTTTGAACTTAGGTCTTCGCTTCTCTTATGGACTCTGTTGAGCAGCGCCAATGCTCTTCTCTTATCAACGTGATTGAGACAACGGATGGTTTGCCATGTTAACAACCACTATTGAGCCAGTGAACTATCCACTAAAGAAACGTAGACATACGCTGCATAAGAGGTAGAATAAAGCATTCCCTTATAGAAGTCCTCTATGTAAAAAAAGCGTGCAAGACGGTAAATTTAGAGAAAATAATAGCGACCTTAAAGCATTTCTCACTTCCTGAATATAACTATTTATTTATTTATTCAATTCATTAATTAAGTACAACTCAGATAGATTGCTTAAGTTAAATAAAAAAGGAGAAAAAATAAGTATAATGAGTATTAAGGTATGCACATGTACAAAATATTAAGGATTTGTAAATGTGCATTTGAAGAAAAAAGATTATTTACAATTTAAGAAACGCAGCACCACAATTAGCTTAGACTTAAAGCCATTACGAGAATTTAAAACTTCTAAATTTTTACAAATTTGGTTAGTCTACCTCAGACAACGCGTAAGTGGATCATTAAATATAAAGTTGGTCTTGTGATTTGATACTCGAACACGTCGCTGAACCTGAGATCTCGAACAGGACAATTGAAAATAATTAGTTCGAGCAAGAAGTGGCAATAGACGTGGCTGGTGACTTTGTCCATAATAAAAATTATTGAGAACATTTTACTACGCATTTCTAATGTAGGTAATGCCAGTAAAAGATACCTACTACTATAATGGGGAATGCTGCAATTTCACCGGAGGTAGTAAGGTGCGTGTCTGGTAAAGCGTTCTTGGACCTTCTCTACCCTTGAAGGTGAACCCAAGTAGAAGGGATCCCAAATAATGCTACAATAGTCAAGGTCCGATCTTACAAATGAGAAGTAGAAGCTAGAAGGGGTTTTGAAATTTATTTGAATTCCGCATTACAAAGTCAAGCATCGACCTAGCCTTGGTGATTATAAAATCAAATGTTTAGAAAAGGACATTTTCGGAGTAAATATGGCTGCTTATGCTCATTTTAAAGAAATGCATGAGTTAAAGCAAATAAAGGCTGGTTATGCAAATAATCGATCCCGTTTGTCTACCGTATAAGCAAGTCATCTTGAAGACTAATGCAGTTAGACCCGCTGTCTATATGACTGTATAACTTTAACGTCCAAAATAAAATTCACAAAAACCAAGAAAAGTAACGGACCCAGATGGTAGCCTTGTGGTCCCCTGAAGTGACTTTAATCACATTGGCCTTAGTATTATTTATGCGATCGAATTGGGTCCTATCAACAAGATAGGATGCAAACCACTTAAGTAGCTTTTCGTGCACTCCGATTGATTCCAGCTTTTTAAGTAGTAATATATGACTAACCTTATCAAAGGATTTCGAGAGGTCAGTGAATATGGCATCGCATTGATGAACGTTTTCAAATTGTTTTAGAACAAAATTTGAAAATTACGCTAAGTTTTTAGAAGTTGATCTACCTTTAATTACTCCGTGCTGATAAGGCGATATGAGCTCAGAAGTCTTGAAAATGATCTCATCATCAACAAGCTTTCGAAAAGTTTAGGTATGCTTGGAATTTTACTGATTGGACAATAATTTTGGCTCCCAGACTTATGAATAGGTGTGTTTTTCCAAATCGGTAAGAATTCACCTAGATTTAGGGATTTGTTAATATTTTGGATACCTGTAAAGCTAACGCTGGAGCACAAGTCTTTAAAGGAAGGGAAGCCATCTTCACCAGCACTAGAGTTGTTTGGCTAGGCTAACAGACCATCTAGGACTTCATCTTCTGAGAGCTGCAACCCTTTAAGGACAAGTGTGCTGTCCCGGTTTCAGACTGAGAAACATACACAAAACGGTAAAAATTGGCAAATATGTTACAAATCTTCTGAACGTTCTGCACCATGTCAGGAATCCCTGTGGCTTTTTTCTTGCAATTTATAAACATCCAGAACTGCTTGCGGTTAGACTTCATTTCACTCTCCATTTTTATGATGTAGTTCTGATATATAAATTTATTCAAGGCATCAAACTCTTTTTGTAACCTCCTGTAGATTTCAAAAGGCTCCAAGTTTTTACTCGACTGGCGATACAGTTTATATACCTTGGTTTTTTTTTTGTTAAGGTTGACCAGCCTAGAGTTGTACCAGACCAGTTTGGAAATATATTTTCAATTGCCGCTCCTAGCTCGTCTCTAAAATTGTCGTAAGCGGTTGACAATTGGGCGAGGTCAAAGGCAAATTCCCCGTCCACCAAGTTCAATGACCGTGAAATCTCATCAAATTTGGCATCAGTGAAGTTATAGGTTTTGCGATTATAATTAACTTTGATATAATAATTAAAGCGAATATGTCGGCGCACACATATAAAGCAATGCAGTAAACATCAAGTCATGTAATCGCGACTTAAACTTAAGGTTGATTTTTGCTCTGCGGAATTTTAATAATCTATTGAAGAAGAGGTCAAACGTATCTTATTTCACAGCCCGTGATTCGATGCGAATAGAAGTACTTTCGCTCAGTGTTTTTGGAAGGCTATTTACCAGAGAATTTAGTAGAGAACTTGAAAAAAGGCACAGAACCATGGAAACCAGGTAAAAGTGAAGCCACGTGCATTTCGATCGAATTGAGAAGAGATAAGCCGTGCCGGAAATGACTTTGCATATTTATGTACGTCTAGGCAAGGTTAGGTTAGGTAATGTTGAAGTGGCTGTCAGTGACCTCACTACCACACCTTCTTCTTCTTCTTATTTGGCGCTGTAACCGCCTAAGCGATTTTGGCCGAGTCCAAAACAGCACGCCAGTCATTTCTCTTCTGTGCTAACTGACGCCAATTGAAAATGCCAAGTGAAGCCAAGTCCTTCTCCACCTGGTCTTTCCAACGCAGAGGAGGCCTTCCTCTTCCTCTGTTACCAGCATCGCGGCCCGCGTTGAATATTTTCAGAGCAGGAGCGTTTCTGTCCATCCGAACGACATGGCCAAGCCAGCGGAGCCGCTGAATTTTAATTCGCTGCACTATGTCTATATCGTTGTAAAGCTCATACAGCTCATCGTTAAATCGTCTGCGATATTCGCCATCACCAACGCGTAAAGGTCCGTAAATCTTTCGCAGAATCTTTCTCTCGAAAACTCCAAGAGCCGCCTCATCAGATGCTTTCATTGTCCATGCTTCCGCGCCATACACCAGCACAGGCATGATGAGTGACTTATAGAGTGTGATCTTTGTACGACGAGAGAGGACTTTACTTCTCAATTGCCTACTCAGCCCAAAGTAGCACTTGTTGGCAAGAGTGATTCTCCGTTGGATTTCAAGGCTGACATTATTATTGGTGTTAATGCTGGTTCCCAAATAAACGAAGTCGTCTACTTTTTCAAACTTGTAACTGTCAACAGTGACGTGGGTGCCAAGACGCGTATGCTCTGACTGTTTGTGTGATGACAGGAGATACTTCGTTTTGTCCTCGTTCACCACCAGACCCATTCGCTTTGCTTCTCTATCCAATCCCGAGAAGGCAGAACAGACGTAGCCCTTGTTTTTACCGATAATATCGATGTCGTCGGCATACGCCAGCAATTGTACGCTCTTATAAAGTATTGTGCCTGAGCGGTTCAGTTCTGCGGCTCTTATTATCTTCTCCAACATAAGATTAAAGAAATCACACGAAAGGGAGTCCCCTTGTCTGAAACCTCGTTT